ATCTCTCAGTATTGGCCTTATTGGTTTATTGGTTCAGTCAACTTCTAAGCTAATAATGTCCATTCATATTTCGGAATATACCTTTTCTTGCATGTGGGAACAATCGTTCAATTCCCTATAATTTGGTATTTGCGTCAATGCAATTTATGCGAATGTGTTTTGGTTCTTCAAATTGCTTTGATGTAGAGCTTTGCAAGTTTTTTTTCCTTTCCCTGTTTCATCAACATTAAAAATGATGATAACTCATGAATTAATGTAACAAGCAGAAATCTTCTTTAGTATTTAATCTTGTTGGAATGGTTGGGTGGGGGCAGTAGTTATTATTGAAACTTGATGCTTATAGCGAGATTATGTGCTGTTATCAGACATGCTGATAATCATTATGTTACGTCAATACCTAACCTAAGGGCAATTTTGTCTTCTGTACATCTAAGGGCAATTTAGTCTTTTATTATTATTATTGTTGGATATAAATAGGCTCATGATGTTTAGAGTTAGGGAGATGCATGAAATTGAGTCTTTTATCTTAGATTTTGGGTTTGGGAGAGATATTCTACCACTCAAATTGTAGGAATTGGGAGAGGTTGCTTACCTCTCGAATTGTAGGTGCTTATGTTTATATATTCATGTGAGTTATTAGGTTGTATTGCTTTGATTTGGTGTTCGAGAAATATTTGTGTTTGCTCTAATTTCTATTTAAAAACATGTCGATTTTGACACCAAATTGTATAAAATTTGATATCATAGTAAGTTCTGAGAATCAAATCGTGGAGCTCGAAGCTAAGGACGGGATCACGGTATTCAGACATGGTTAGGAGCTACGATTTTGACATACGATGATGGAACCAGCGATCGGAAAGCTTCTTCTACGATTGGGAAGTGGCATACAAAGACCTGAAACCACATCTTTCTCCTCAATCGAGCGATGCAATCGCGCTTTGGACTCACGGGGAAGGGGATGATGATCCACCCCAGCTGTTATCGCAATTTATATAAGTCTTGGTAAAAACTCGATCCGCTTTCTAGCAAAATGATTGAATTCTTAAAATTAGGTATTATTACTCACTGGGGTTTCTCACGTAAATATAAGTATTGTTTCAATAATATAGGACTCTATTGAGTCCGGAATGTCAATCCCACAGGGAAGGGGAGGGAGATAATTCCTAAGGCGAAGTTTTAATTACTACTTTCAGGTCTTAGTTTGAAATATCGTTAATGGTGGTTTTTCTAATAACTAATCCTAAGTTACGTTTCTATACTTAAGTTAAACTTGACTAGATCAATTAATTAGGTGAAATTCAAGATTAATAAGAGTACTTTTCTCTTGTGAATTAGTAGGCAGGTTGTAGGTATTACTACTAGGAATTGTGATGTTATCGTGACAAAATGAGCATGACTTATTTACCCTCTTTCGGGTGCATAAATAAGTATGGTTCAAATTTTGGCTCTTGTTTCCGACTGTTATCTAGAAACTCCTCATTCAAACCCTATCAAAACACATCTCCATAAATTGCATTACCTCTTGATTACTTCACCACAACCATTTGAACAACATGAATATTCCATATTGTTTCGCCATTGCTCTCTCGAGTCCTAATGGGTCATAACTAATTTTAACAACTTGTATGACTAGTACAATATGTAAATTAAGCCTAGAAGAATACTCAACACATTAAACAATAAAAACCAATTCCATAGCATTAATGATCCTACAAATCTAACCTAACAATCACAAGAAAAAAGTATTAAGAAACCTACTCATTATACATGTTGAACACAATAGAAAACTTCATTTAATCCAAGCAATTTCACCAAACATTTGTTTACAACAGAAATCAAATAATATTAAACTCGATACTTAGCTTTTGCTCTCTGAAAAGAGTAGTAAATTCCAAGGACAAAGTCTTCCATAATGCTGCACATGATGCTGAAGTAAAACCCTTACAAATACTCTTGATTTTCCCTCTCAAATCTCTCAAGAACAAGTGAAATAATCTAAATCCTACTCCTATCTACTACCTCTTTGCATTCCTGGAGAATTCTAGGGTTTAGAAATGCCAAAAAGCGCCTCTCCAACCATTCAAAATTTTCAAGTAACTCCCGGGGGCATGCTGAAACCGCACAGGACAGTTTGTATTGATGCATGCTGAAACCGCCTAGGCGCCAATTTGTGGAACTTAGGCACTAGTCTGTGGAGCCTAGGTGCCAGGGGGTGGCGCTTAGGCGCCAGTCTGCTAGTTTTCCCTTTTCTCCATTTTGCATCCACTTCACTCCGTTTCAACTCCAATTTGCTTCATGTTTCCTACCTATTATACCTGCAAGAAAAATATGAAAATACTTTTCTTTAAAGTGCAATTTCATTAAAAAATATGTGTTAATTGTAAAAGACATTAAGCACGTTAAAAGACATATCAGATGACGGAAGCGAGACGTGCGATCAAACAAGCAAGAAGCATTGGCGAGATCACGACGTCCAATCCTTGGCATCAAAGAGATCAAACACACCTATCTCCTTCCACTGCGTCCGAACAATACATACACGATTAGAGCTTGCTGAGAAGGTAACATAGCGGCTTATAGGAGTTTCGTGTCGAACCTAACCTGTATATAGGAATTTGGATCGCGATGTCCAGACTTCCGTGCTTCCAAGTGCCAAATCACGTACATGAATTTAGGGATTGCGACATTTAGATTTTCACGAATGTGGAGACCACAAAGAATTTTTTAAGCTCATGATTTCAACATAAAGGAGTTCCGAAACCGTACAGGGAGTAATAACAACCAAGAAAGTAGATGATTTGAAGAAGAAATTGGAGGAAGGGATGAGTCAACTTAAATCCGGGATGGAAGAAAGGTTTGCCACCATAAAGGATAGTTTTTCTTCCATAGAAAGCCATCTCGAGAGTTTTTTTTTTTCCATGGAGAACCGAATGGAGGACCAATTCAAGTGCCTCGAGGAGATGATAAAGACGCTCATTGAGATGTAATCCAAGGCCTCACCGACAGATCAATTTGTAAAATCTAGCCCTAGATTGATTGAAGAATTCGTGGCTAAATCAAAGAGATCGAACGTAAGGAACGTGAGGAACGTGAGGAGTAAAACATCCACTATCACGAACTTCCTCCTAGGACTCCAATGGGGGGTGGATTAGAGAATTTTCTGGAGGGGGTTGGGCTGAGACGAGAGGGGTTATGAAAGGGGTTGGGATGAGCACTTAGAAGGAAGGAGAGAAACTAGAATGGGGCACGACTATGATCGACGGAGGGAGTTTCACTTTACATACATTAAGGGAAACACTGGAGGGAGAGGAAGTTGGTTTTTATGCTAGGGTTAGGAAATTGAAGATGTCGATCTTCGTAGGGGAAGACACATGGGTGAGTATCTTGGGTAGAGTGATACTTCGTGGTGAATGGGCTAATTAGGGAGGAGAAGCTCATGACAGTAGAGTTATGTTTGGAGGGGAAAGCCCTATCATGGTTTTGGTGGAGGGAGGCTAGATATCCGATCTGTTTGTGGAAAGAATTTAAAGATTGTTTCTTGGAACGTTTCTAAGGCATTCGGGAAGGATACCTACATGAGCAATTCTATGACTTAAATCGGGAGAAGACTATCATAGAATATAGGTAGAGAGATTCAAGCTATTGTCTGACGATTGAGAGAGATTTTTGAAGCAGGATTGGAGGGGAATTTCATGAAGAGCCTAAAGCCCGACATACGGGCATCACTCCAACTATGGAGACCGCTGGGATTGAGGGAGACGATAGAGCTAGCTCAGATGATGGAGAAGAAGAACTAGATGGAGAAGGCCAATAGGAACAACATAGATGGAGTGCTGCATTAAATTGCTACAACCACTTCAATACCAAAAGCTCAAACTACATAACCAGAGTGAGGCTGCATAGGACATGAATAATGGGTCATAACCAGGAGCGACACTCAAATGCCTTACAGTGAGAGATTCAAAAGAAGCAAACCAAAGGGTTAGTGTTATGGAAATAAAATCTATGTTTGCCCTAATTTTTGTGGAAAAACGTGCCGATTTTGACATCGGATCTTATCACATTACGGATGGATTTTTTTCTTTTTTTTTTTCTTTTCTGGGCGAACCTTTTGGTGTTACCTAAGATTAAATTTTGAAACCACTGGAGAGGCTGGCTGAAAAGTGGAACTTAAGTGAAGATTTTCAGCTTGATTATTTAATTTTCTTTCTCGACTTTCAGTTTTTCTTTATCATCAGCATTAAATCTCTGTTCTTTTCATTTAAAACTTTTTGCCCATGGTAATTTATTTCTTATTGCTGAAAAGTAATGATGTGTGTACTATAAAAAAATTTTATAGAATAACTCAGTAATATTATTAACTTTAACCCCTCCATTTTGTTACATTTTTAATGTTTTGGTTTAATGCTTGTTCAACAACGAGACTTAATGAAGATTTTCAGGTTGATTATTGTATTTCTCTCTCTATTCTTTTTTTTTCTTTATTGCCATTAAACATTTGTTTTTTTTATTTTAAACTTTTTTGCCCATATTAATGACCAATTTATTTCTTAATATTAAGGAGCAATTTCATGTGTACTGCCAAAATATTTTTATTTACAAAACTACATCTGAAGTATTTCAAATTTTCTAATGCCACCCAAATCTTGAATGGTACGACAAAACCACTTTCATTTCCAGTTGTTATGCTTTTAATGATTTGGTTAATCTTGCACAAATACATTTTTTTATTAGTTCATTTTAGGCATATAGTTGGTAATTGTGTTAATAAGGAGGATTTCGCTTCACAGATGTGGATCTCTCTAGTATTAATCCATATTTTAATTTCACTTTTTCTAGTGGTTATTATATGTTTTTTTGACATAATAATCTTTATTCCTAGCATGCTATTTCCTTTTTCTATTTCAAGATGCATCACATTAAGTCCTTGGTTTTTTTACTAGTAGTTTGAACTATTAACTGGAAAAATATTGATTTTCCTTAACATCTTTGTTTTCTAGAGCTTTGTTTCCGGCATTGGCAACTGGATTGCTGATGAGGTGCTTTATCAGGTGAGAATGATTTTTACTTTTCACAACGATATATACTTTCTATTTTATGTTTTTTTTTCCTTTTATTAAATTTACCAATTCTGTCAGTCAAATAGTATCTTGCCCGTTTTTATTTTGTGATTCATTTAACAGTGACAAAACAAACTAAATTTGTGTCCGACAATGAAAAATTTGACAGGATGAGTAGGGCTAGTAAACCGTAGGAATGTGTTGCAATTGAGCAATAAAAGATAACATCTGGAAGCCATGGTTTTATCAAAAGCAGCATGAAGTTATGTACACTGCTGATTCAAAGTTTGCTTAATTTAAGCTAAATTTAACCTAACTTAAACGCTCCCTTCAATTTTTAAACATGAATTCTCATGAAGAAATGGAACAAATGTTAATTTTGTGCTAACATATTCTGTCATGAAAATAAAAGAACAAATAATTTGCATGAGCAATATGGTTAAAGCATAACTTTGATGTTTTTTTTTTCAAAGCACAATATTATAACTAGATAATGATGTGGTTAGTAATGGAGAGAATTGGTTTAGTATTTATTCCAACATTTGTTTACTGTTTATATAATCTTAGAAGAGCATTGGTAATGGTGAATTTTTTTCTTTATATGATAATAACAAGTATAATGGATGCTCGGTTCATGCACTTTTATTTACCAGCTCTGTAGTTTTCTCAACTAATTTAATGTAGAAATTGATTTAATTGATTGGACATGCTTCAGTTAGGATGCCCGCCCTCCTTAAGTAAAACGTGTAATGACCGAATAAAATATAGTTTTGGTATAAGTTTGAGTTGTGTAAAAGTAGCTGATTTTGATGGAGAGTTTTTTATTAGGATGAGGGATAAGGTAGGGCAATTTAAGAGAGGATTCATTTGTGAATGCTATTCAATAGCAAAGTAGAAATTCTTGTCACAAACTATGCATTTTTCTCGTGAGAGATGATAGCATTTGCACCCTTTTTTAGCGAAAGAGTAGTTGAAAAAAACACATTTGATTTCTTTTAGATTAATTTTGTTTTCTATTTTGACGATGTATATGGATAAAGGAAGCACTTTTAAAAATATTGGGAGCATAGTTATTTGATATCAATAAGTTAGGAAAGAAGTTGGCTATGACTTGAGTCGGACTTTGGAACTTTTGGACCTTTATAGGTAATTGGTTTTTGATGTTAGCAACTGTTAAGGATGCTTCTCCCGCACACGCACAAGCACACATGCACACATGCACACATGCACACATGCACACATGCACACTGCCGCGCCCGTGTCCACACCCTTAATTTCCTATTTTAGTTTTAGGGCCCGTTTAGGGCATGTCGGCCGTTTTATTGTTCAACTTTCGCTTTCGTAGTTTGAAAAGGTGATGATTTTGTGATTTTGAAAATAATTTAAATATAAATATAACTTTTTTAAAGAAGTAACATTTTAATTTTTAAAATAAGTGAGACCAAACGAATCTCACATTTTCAGATAGTTTAGATGATTTAACGCAATACTACA